GCTGTCCCGAGCATCAATAAGTGGGTTGGATGAAGACGAAGAAGCGCTTCCTAACATCGTTGAAAATAAAACGAATATTTCAACGGAAGAAATCGCTTAAAATTTGCAACTATTAGTCAACTGCCTTTCGCCATTTGCTTACATTTTCTGACGAAACAGACCAAGCTCGATCGTACAAACATTTCATTGCATTTACGACATGAAAAGAAACTGTTCTGCACAGAATTTTTGCAAGCGATGATAGCGTTTAATGCGAAGGAAGCTTAAAAGAAATGAGGTCTTACTCTCCGTTTGGTGAGTGTGTATAAGGTTAATTCAATTTCCGTCGACAAAATAATTGCTAAGAGGTATTGTAACAAAATCCCCAACTCTGACTTTGCAAATCGAAAAGTGACATTCATCGCTAGGTCAACACAAGACCATATATTGCAAAGAGACTTTAAAAAGCTTAAAGAGAATTGGGAACACTTCAAACACCCACTGAATTCTACAGACTTGGTTTCGGATTTTAATTTTTCCCTGTTGTACAGAATTATTTAAGTGATAAAATTTTGATATTTTACAGTTAGCTGAAAACTACATCAAAACCTTCTTCCATTTTCTACGAAAATGGCATCAACCAGCTTCTAGAATAATGGGAGACAGTTGTTAAAACGACGGAGACTATAAACTTGACTAATAATTTTTTTTGGTGAGTATTTATAATTTTGTTTTTTAATTTTTCTCTCATTTTCCCTATTTTGATATGCAAGCTCTTTTCATTTTCTTCGCTTAATCTCTCTCTCTCTCTCTCTGTTCATTTTCTATTTTCCTATCTTTTTTCTTTTTTTCTATATTTTATTTATTATTTACTATATTTCTGTCTCCCTGCCAATGTCTCTCTCACTATTTATGTATTTCTCTCTCTCTCTCTTTCTCTCTTTCTCTCTCTCTCTCTCTCTCTATCTATCTATCTATCTATCTATCTATCTATCTATTTATCTACTGACAATTACTATCTATGTGCATTTCAAATGAATATTTCAGGATCGATAAGCAGAGACATGTATAAATAAGAGATGACTACAAAAATACTGGAGATGGAGATGAAAGACTAATATAGCGAGCTAGTTATATAAATAGATAAGAACAGACTGAGATAGATAGATAGATAGAAAGAAAGAAAGAAAGAAAGAAAGAAAGAAAGAAAGAAAGAAAGAAAGAAAGAAATGTACATACAAATAAGTTTTAATAAATATAAGTCATTTTTGTTATATAAATATTCCATTTAGAAGCTAGTCTTATTTCAAACATTTGAAGAATTTTTACCTGAGGATATTGATCTCCATTTTCCAAAATGATTTTCCCGACTAATTTTCTTAATTTACAAAGTTTCCTTCCCAGTCTATTCCTTCGTAATTTAGTTATAATGCGTCTCCTGCTTTTTCGTATGAACAATAACATTTTCTTCAAACATTTTCTATTATTTTTTTCTTGTTGAACGGAATAAAATTTTCTTGCAATTCCGTCTACTGTTTTTCCAGAGACACTGATATCGCTTCCAAAAATTAATATTAAAAAATCATGTTCCTTTGCATCCATACAAAAAATTCCTCTTAAGTTCATATTTGGTTGGTTAAAAAATGATATACATTTCAATAAACTCCGCTACCGATACATTTATAATACCCTTGCTTTTCTTCTCTCTCCTCTTCTTTTTCTTTTTCTTCTTCACTCTTCTTTTCGCATCAAACTCCCCCCTTTCTATCACACCTAACGCCATGCGTTTCCTTCTTTTTAAAAAAAAAATATTGCGTTCATTGTTTCTTTTATCGTTGGGAGATCAATGGATGAAATTGCCTGAAGATTGCGTAAGTTTGAAACCAATGTGGCAAAATCAAATGATCTAATTTTTAAAGTTAAACAATCTACATTTTATTTTTTTAATTTTATTTTTTTCACACGTGTATTGAGCACGTTTTACTACAACTGTTCCCTAGTCCACTTCAACCCTCACCATTAATCTTTAATTATATATATATATATATATATATATATATATATATATATATATATATATATATGGACTCTCCCGTCGATTTCGGCGTATGAGGATCTGACACCTTAACCAATTGATTCAGTTATGAATCTTGTGCGATAATCTTAAGTAGCACTTAAGACCCGCTAATGATTTACAAAGGAGGCCACATATGGGGCAAGAGTAAGGATTGTGGGAAGAGATCACTGCTAGATTGGCTGACCTTTTAGATCTTGCTATCGTTTGAAGACGATTCATGGTAGCAGAGTGAAAAGCGCTGAGTTAACTATAACTTGTTTATCTCCACTCTACCCAAATTTTCGGGTTAAGGATTTGATTATTATGCTCTATTGACCGATTATATATAACTTTTAACAGTTTATCTACAACCTTTTGGACAATATTCGATATAGTTACATGAACACAGCGAGTTTAATATAAAATACCAATCGATAATTCGATCTAAACATATACGATGAGCAAACCCCGAATAAATAAAATAAACAAAAAATCTGAATAAATATAAGATTTAAACAAATTAACAAACCACGAATTGACACAAGCACACACAAATTTAGTAATAATGATCAAAAAGTAGCAAATCAGTAACAAATAAAAAATAATGCGTAAAAGTCAATAAATAATTGGATGCACAATTAATTGAAGCATAACCGTTACTGTCTACCCAATAACCATTAGAATATTAAATACAATCGACACGAGTATCCATAATGTACCACTGACGAGCATATATAAATAGTCGAGTCAAAACACATGGCCTAAAGATAGCGTTGAAACATGCAAGCATGAAAATAATTGTTGCTCCTTGGTGTTGCTCCAAATGTCCACTTTTTTTTATTTACATACATCTGTGTCCGATATTGAGCACTTTTACCCATACATATAGCATACCTTAAATCTATATTTTTTATCACATATATATGTATGTATGCACACACACACACACACACACACATGTATATATATATATATATATATATATATATATATATATATATCATTCAACTGGAATTATATTACATTAGGTTAATGATCATTTTCACCTTGTAAATTGAAATAAAATTGACAAGTAATTTTCAAACCAGTTAATGAATGATAAATTATTGAAATAAAATTGCCAGAGAGAGGAAGGAAAGAAAGAAGGAACGGGAAAAAGAGAAAGAGAGAAAAAAGAGACTCACTAAAAACTAAGAAATACTTTAAGTCTGGATATGAGGAGTGGTCAGAGGATAAAGGATGAGGAAAACAGGGGGAAAACGAGAGAAGATATTACCTATTTATTCAAAACACAGTAGCAATCAGAAGGTAGTTTAGACTTAAATAAAAACTCCTTAAGGAAATAAACAAAAATAATATTATTTTAAATAATGATAAATCAATTTGCATGAAAGTATAAATTCAGTATAAAAGATATATTAAAATGAAAAATATATATTAAAAAAAATATTAAGAAAAATTTTAAAATGTAATATATTGAATTCATTATATTATCCTGGGAAGAAGTATCTAATTTAACATCTGCATTTAAATCAACATATATCAAATTAAACCTATTTTAAATAATTCCCATCTACACGGAAAAAATTGTTAATATTTATCATCTAATATATAATGTAATGAACCAATGAAAAGAAGATTAAATAAAAGTAAAGATCTATACTTAAAATTAGAAAGAAAAAGTGTGTATGTGTCTGAATCTGTGTCGGTGTTCGTAACTGTGTATTTAAGCATGTATGTATGTAAACCTGTATGTATGCAATGTAGAACCCAGGCACTTAAACCGTCAAACCGTTTATCCTAAAACCAAATGGTGGCGAAGAACCTGTTCCCTTCTCATGAACTTCACTTAATCACCAACTGACTTATGTTTACAGCCCGATGAAAGGCGTAGTGTCACGTGGCACAAAACTGTCTCTATGCATTGTTGGTTCCTAAATCCACACGAATTTTCTTTGTCTCTCTGTTTATCCATTAATCTATTCATCTATCTAACTATATCGAGGTAATGACATGAGAAAACAAGATAACAGAAATTACGAAAACTGGCAATAACTATTGATAACGAATATAAATATTTGAATATCATATTTGACAGTAAAGCAAGAAGCCGGGAGACATTGTTCACAAGAGAGAGTAGATCTAGAAAAGAAACTGTTAGCATAGAACTTACGGATACATCTAGGCATTTAAATTCAATGATATAAATGCAAAATGAGTATTAATAAGTAACGTAGTTTTGTCGTGGACGGATATCCAAAATATATGCATCGCATCACTTGCACAAACCATTAAGAAGACAATTTTATATCACTGAATATTTGCTTGATCATTTCAAGACCCTGTTTGACAAGCGAATAGGTAAGAAATAATATTTCTTCGAGAAAAGAGAAGAGTACATGCCTCTGAATATGGCAAAGCGGATTTTATTAATATACCTGGATTGGAGTCAGTGTCATTATCTTCGATGTTTGCTTTATCTCGAATAAAGCGAACCAAATGATGAAGCCTCAATAGCGTATCATTGGAGAAATGGTTATTATTCTTGTTGATGCTGTTGGTCTGTGAAAAGTCTCGTTTTAAATGGACATTGCGAACGCATGCGCCGAATATCCCGCACCGGCAGCAGAGTTAATAAAGCCTTAGAAATTTACGGGGCAGGATAGGAACATTTCTGAATCAAAGAATTCACACATGTTGAATGTGATTATAATTTTATGCAAGGATTATATCTTTTGCCTAAAGGGTTTCTGCAGTGAATGGATATACGGTTGCGATTACTGGATATCTTCGAGGTGAAATCCAATAGCTATGTTCGAAATTTCTTCTCTCGAAAATGAACGAACTAGCCATCAGCTCTGTGTGTGGAAACAATGAAATTGGTTAAAATTCCAGTGGATGATACTTATTAATATATTGACCGCTAGGAATGTTGCCTGAAATATCTTTCAAGTCCAGTTAGCCTTTCGGCCATATCATCTTGAAACATTGGTTCCCATAACATCACCGAAGTTAAACAACATCAAGCCTGCTCAGTATTTTGATGGGTGACTACTTGAGAATAATATGTGCTGTAAATTTGGATATACGTGTGGTGTAATGGATAACGGCTCAGGAATTGAGATCAGAAAGCGAAGTTCCATTTCCAGTCCGGTTCGTTTACGGACAAATAAGTATGTATCAGCTTTTTAAACTCAGCTATGGATTAAAAAGTATCATTTGTATATGCAAAACCACTATTGTCTCAAAAAAGTATTACTATTGGCATATGTATCCGAGAATCTTTTCAACAAAGAAGAACAGGGAATTTATTGTGAGAGTTTTTACACTTTCTCATATATGTTCTCCAATACTGTTCTTGGTATATATATATATATATATATATATATATATATATATATATATATATATATCCGACTGATGTCAAATCAGTTTTCGATCTCAGCTTGAGTCAATCGTATGGTTGTCACACTGATGAGATATGAAAACAGCGAAACAATCTCTTACTGTATATATATATATATATATATATATATATATATATATATATATATATATATATATATATATATATATATATATATATAATAAAAAGGCTTAAACACTAATATTCCATGGTCATAATTTATTCCATTGGAATCGTAAATACGATCCAAATCATCAGACCTACAAATTCAAAATGAAAACAGAAAAAAACAACTCCGGAAATCAAAACAGAATTTAGAGAAAGTCTAAGTATGAGGATGAGTGACAGAGAGAATTTTTTGGAGATGTGGGTGGGGTGGATTTAAAAAGAGGAGAGAAAGAAAGTCGACGGATGTCTAATACATAAAGATACATTTCGTGGTGACATATACACACCACAGACAATTCGGATAGGAAGGGAAAAAAAAAAAAAAAAAAAAAAAAAGGAAAGGGTGGGGAGAGGGGATGGGACGAAGGAAAATAAAAATTGTGTTTACTTAAAATTTAAAAATCAAATATAAATATATGAAGATGAATATAACGATTGTCTCATTTCGCATGGACCAAATATTTCTATGTTCAAAAACACATACTAATACACACACAAAAAAAAAAACATATACAAGTAGGTACATACACATATTATCAATTATCAATTATCAATTTATTTTCCACTAATATTATATATATATATATATATATATATATATATATATATATATATATATACAGAGAGAGAGAGAGAGAGAGAGAGAGGGGTCAGACAGAAAGAACAGTCAGATTTATAACCCACAGTTCTTTAGCATTTAATTTTCAACCAGTGTTCGATACATAGAAGAACATAATTTTATTATGAAAAAAATATGGATTCATCGCGACACAGAAATTATAATGTTCGGAACTTAAAGTTTAGTTTCTAGTTCCGAAACATGGGAATTTCTGTGTCGCGTGTATTATATATATTTTTAAACAATAATAATAATAATAATAATAATATATATATATATATATATATATATATATATATATATATATATATATATATAATATTAGTGGAAAATATACATACATATGAAAAATATATCTAAAAATTCCCATACATGTATATTTTCAGAAAAAATTTTTCCAAGAGGAAGGATCCAGGTAGAACTCAATGTCTAAGACAGAGTAAGGATATAATAAAAAGGCTTAAACACTAATATTCCATGGTCATAATTTATTCCATTGGAATCGTAAATACGATCCAAATCATCAGACCTACAAATTCAAAAAAGAAAACAGAAAAAACAACTCCGGAAATCAAAACAGAATTTAGAGAAAGTGTAAGTATGAGGATGAGTGACAGAGAGAGAATTTTTTGGAGATGTGGGTGGGGTGGATTTAACTTAGGAGAGAAAGAAAGTCGACGGATGTCTAATACATAAAGATACATTTCGTGGTGACATATACACACCTATATATATATATATATATATGAAGAAATATACTCTTAAGGTGTGCTATATTTATGGGATAAATTGTTCAATATCAGAAATAGATCGTGGAAAAATGAAAGTGAAATTGAAGTCAACACTTAGAGTCGGCACTCTGTTTCATGCTAACGAAATCGTCATGTCTGACGATTGCGCCTCGTAAATTACGTCCAAACGGCAATATAAAACAATATTTATAAATCATGTGCGGCTTGTCTTCATTGGGATGTCGGTGCACGTTCCTTAACCTCAGAATTTTAGATACTTCACTTTCTCTCATCATATAGTGGGCCACATCTTATGCTTTACTTGCCGTGACCATTGTAGATAAGCGAAGCAGGAATAAGATTCACCGGGACAAAGATTTTAGAACGCCATGTATCTCTTCGTACACGACGTGAAGATTCGTTTCACACCAGCTGTTCTGTTAAGCCGGCGAATAGCTGGCCATAATAAGATAGTAACTTACAATGATTCTTTGTACCGACTTTTTCCAATCTTGCTCACGGCCAGCCATGTTTATCAACTGAAAAATCCTACAAATATATAATTCTCTCGAATACAAGTACTCACCGAACTAAGCCAATTGTTTTGGGGGCAAATTTCTGCACATGTTTACAGTTAAAAAGAATAAACTCTCTAAAGCTGTTTCCCTTTCCGAAAACTCTGTTCCCTTCTGTCCTGTTAGTAATCCAAAAATATGGTGAATTTCTAAACGTAGCTAGACGTGGCACAAGGCCGAAATTACGGGTCACCCAGTAAGGATCGAACTCATTCAGTCGTAATTGTTCTAGCTAGACAAGACTGATCACTATTGCACCACATCTAAATGCCCTAAATGGTTTTCTAAGCGTAGCTTAGATGTGGCACAAGGCACCCAGTGATGATTGAACTTTTCAGTCTTAATTGATCTAACAAGACAAGATTGCTAACCATTACACCACGTCGAAGTACCCAACTGATTCAGCAATGTGACGATGAACTAATCAACACTCGCTTGGGATTTACCTGTGTATATTGCCATTTAAATAGGATTGACTACTTTGATATTGATTAATTTTTGAAAAACTTTTTACCAAATATGGCTCTAAGAAGAATGTGTCCGCCAATAGAGGAGTCCTGTAATTCTAAAACCATTGCTTATCTGAATTTCTATCATTATACCGTCCTGGGTAATGAGGATAAACTACGTCCAACAGCAAGGCCTCTGATGAGATTTTGAGGAACGTAGATCCACCTCTTAATTGCTGGTGTTTCCAGGTCAAACCTGACACGGGGTGGTACAAACTGTTAGGGTCCCAGCTATGGACAAATAGTTAAACCCAAACTGAATCCTTATGAAAGTGTAAAAATAGGTTTTAATACCAGAGATACTTTGTAAAAAATTCTTACCCGAATAAATTTTTCAAGTAAAAAACTATTACCAACAATACATGTTTTAAAATAATATTACTAGCTATACATTTTTGGGGAAAAATTATTACCAGAAATAGATTTTTGAAAAAACAAAATATTTGCAGGAAAAAAAGTCGGCATTAAATAACCATTCGAGGTTGATATGCCGTTAAACAAAATAAATAACCAAACCAACCTAAACCAAAGAATACGTATTCTATTCATACGAATCTATCTTAAAAATGTTGTCGGCATTAAATAACCCATTGAGGTTGATATGCCGTAAAACAAAATTAATCAAACCAATCTAAACCAAAGAATACATATTCTATTCATACGAATCTATCCTAAAAATGCTGTCGGCATTAAATAACCCATTGAGGTTGATATGCCGTAAAACAAAATAAACCAAACCAATCTAACATTATAAATTCAAGGAAAATATACACAAATTATATCAGGTAAAAAAAAAAAAAAACAGCACAAAATATCCTTATAAGAAAAAATCGCCACAGAAAATATAAACATTGAGTAAGTAGATTTGATCCCCCGATGGCCATGTATGCAGTCTTTAAATCAGATGCATATGTTCATGCTCCGTTGTATATTGCAAAGACGAGATTCATACGAGATTCTTAAAATCGATTTTTGCCGATTGATTAAAAGGTTACCAATATATTACCAAATGCGTAAACATTGAAGATGCCTATAGTGTTCAACAGCCAAACCGATGGTTTTATTGTTGCTGCACAGGAACAATACTTACCAACAAGAAATTACAAAGCACACATACCAAAGAATTATGTCAACACAATATGCAGATTCTGTGATAAATATCGAAAGAATTTGCGGTCTTGTATCTGGTATCACAGTTTTAGAACCCATTGAATATAAATCATGGCGTTAAAAAAAATAGGTAAATATCTGCACTGGAAAATATGCAGCTTTTGCTGGAAGAAAACTGCTAGGAGCTTGTATGAACACCATTCAAACCTGGTTACAGTGATAGGATCGGTAATAATTTTATGATTTATATTACACAGAAAATGACAATCAAAATCTAATCGTCCAGACATCGTACCTAAAAAAAAGACCAGAAAAAAAATGCGCTTTCTTATTGATAATGGCAGTCCATGCAGATTGCAATGTATCTTTGAAGATTTTCAAAAAAACAAGAATCTTGAAGAAGAAATCTAAAACAAAAATGTGGTACATTAGCATATCAATAAATCCAGTTGTAGTTGGAGCCCTCAGATTGATTGGAAACCGTCCTGATAGACTCATTGAAGAGATTCTTTGTAGCACATGCCTTAAAGAAATACAAAAATATTTTACTCGCCACTAGGTATCACACATTACGAAGAGAGTTAAAAATGTATGTGATCTTAGTTATTTTTTTAAAATGAACAGTGCAAAATATCATGAAGCCATATCTGATCTTCGGTCCTTCGTTGGGACCATGTAGGAAACGAGTGTACAACAAAAATCAAAATAAATAATAATAATAATATTTTTTGTAATCATTTCACCCCATCAAGGGAATAAAGCCACTAAGATGCAAGAGGTTACTGAGTGTTAGAAAAAATATTAGAAAAACTATTACGGAGAGAGGACATTAAAATTTAAATTTGGAAGCTTGGAATTGTTAATCGGAGTTCCGTGTTCCAATTCCAGTTGGGTACTTTATATTCTCTTACGCACAAACACACTTAGAAGACTCTTCTCCACATGCTATGGGTTAATT